TCCCTGCTGGAGCTTGCCTGTTAGCTGTGAGAGAGAGTGCCAGGCTTGCCTTTTATTCTCTACCTTGTTGTCCTATTTACTTCATGACTGAGCAGTGGAAATGGGCTAATTCAAAGTACTGTTCATCAGGCCCTCCATTGTAATTCCATTCCTGAAATGGTGTTGGTGATTCCTCATTCTCTAATAGGCTCCTTTGCTTCCCTCTGCACCTTCTTTTTCCCCCCAAGTATTTTCAATAAACTTTTAACAGCTGAACAGTTTCCGTATTCTGGACAATGCAACCTCTTGGCTGCATTGGAGCTTGACGGTGATTTAGTGAGAGTAGCACCTCAACAATGAAGGGGAAGATACCAGTAGTATTGCCAAGCCCAAGCATTCAAACACCATGAGTCAGCCCTGAAAAATCATAAAGTTGAAAAAATAAATAAATAGTGAGCGCTTTTTATTTGCTTTCTGGTTTCTGAGCCTGTAGGGTTCCTTTGCTTCATGTTTTCAGTAGCAGGAGCTGTTGTCTGGCTAGCTAGGACAGCATAGGGAGCAAAGTCTAGGCAAAGCAACAAGATAGGGCAGACCCAGAGTTTTCTACAAAGTTCTAAAGACTCTTGACTCCTCTGCCATTTCCTTTCTATCCCCATATACACATCTTCTGTAAGCCTTTGCTCCCCTTTAACTTAGGAAGTGTCTACTCTTTGAGCTGGTGAAGTAATTCCAAGCTCGAGGAGACATAGCCACGCTAGTTCTGATTGAGCTAGTGCACTGAAGTAGGGTAGCCGTGGCAACACAAGCAGTAGGGGCTGGCTGCCCCCAGTATATATCAGGTGTCTTGCACTATTTTCACTACATGTGAATTTGTTCAGCTGTGTACACTATTAGTCATTTGTTTAGAGAAGAAGCCATATAGGCTGATGCATAGTCCATACTTATCACACGCTTCTAGAGATTAGAGAAGAAAAATAGAGTAGGTCACTTTGGTCTATTCCTCTACACGATTGCTTTGGAGGATTGTTCCCTTCGTGATTGCTTTGTCCAGTCTAGATTTCAACATTTACAGCGATTCATAGATTTTAAGGTCAGGAGGGATCATCTAGTCTGATCATCTGTTTAACCCAGGCCAAGTGATTCCTGCATCAAGCTCAGAACTTCTGATTGAGCTAGAGCAACCTGCGGCCCAATCAGCACAGAGCTGCGGCCCATGTGACATTCTCAGGCCCATACAAGGTAGTATTGGATGCAGCCCAGATGTGCGGCCCACAATGGTAAATAGCTTGAGAACCTCTGAGCTAGAGCAGTGTTTCTCAGCCTTTTCGGGCTGGTGACCCCTAACAGTAAGGATTATAGTACTGCACACACAGAAAATTTTACTTCGTAATGATAACTTAATTGCCAGCAAACTGTATTGGTGATGGAACAGATTAATATTTGGATCAGTTGCTCAGATGCTATCTTCATGGGAGGGGGATCCTATAAAGCAAACTAGATAGCTTTTATGGTGAAATGAAGCAACATATTTTGAACTAGTATCTTTCATATAAGGATCCCAATTTTGCATACAATTAGTCTTCCTAGCACCTATGGGGTTTAGATCTGTATTATTGTATCTATTTTACAGATGGGTAAAGTGAAGCATAGAGAATTTAGTGATATGTCCAAAGTCACTCAGCAAATAAATGGCAGAATTGGGAAGAAAATCCAGGAGTGCTGACTCCCAGTCTCATTCTTACCTCTAGTACAGTGGTTCCCAAACTGAGGTTCACAAAATGTTACAGGGGGTTCTTGGGGAAAAATTTCCCTAATGGTGGACAGAGCTGTCTCGAGGGACCCCAGGCAGCACGGGGCCGGCAGCACGGGGCCAGCAGCACGGAGCCCCTGGACTTCCAAGAGCTAAGCAGATCAAAGCAAGCATTTCTATCACACTGACGAGATTTAAACTTCAAGACTCCTTATAAGAAATGGAAAGGGAGGTGGATATTTTTTGCTGTTTTTAAAATTAAATAGGCAGCTAGTATTGTTTTTAAAATTATTATGAAGAACAAGTTTAGGCTTTGTTGGAACATGCATTGTTTGCCTGGACTGCTCAAGACCTGAATGCTTGTGTAGGAGGAACTCTTTGAGTTGGCTTCTTGAATACCGTCATGCTGTTTCACATCTGATACTCTTTGATGAAACGTAGGAGCCTTGTCTTATAACAGGCTTATTCAGAGTGATACAAACTACAAAAGTGAGATCTTGGAAGAGTGTTGCCGTTTTCATAATGTAATAAAAATACCGTAATGATAAATAATAATTAATAATAGTGTGTAATAAGCATGTCATAAAAACAAATTTTATATTTCCAAGATCACTGCTTTTATAATTTATACTCTGGTAAAGGAGAAAACCCCTGGAAATATTCATTTTTAGGAGGGGGTTCGCGAGACTTGACATTTTAGTGAAAGGGGTCCACAGGTTGTTTAAGTTTGGGAACCACTGCTCTAACGCTAGCTCTTTCATCACAAGTATGTTATTATGACTGTATTTGATCGATTTCCAAATTACAGGTATCTATAATTTGTATAATCTGATTTGCAGTACATATCTTCAGAGCACCAAGATACCTACTGTAACAGATCATAAATCTTAGTATTAAATAGTCAAGCTGCAAATCTGGCCTCTTTTTTTATAAAGCTGGCTAAACTCCTTTAGGACATTAAAAACAAATTGAAGCATGGCAGCGACAATTAATGTTTTTTACACAGTATAAAAAAAGAAAAGAGGAAGGGGACCGTCAATCAAAATTTAATCGAGAGAATTAGACCAAAAGCATTATGCTAAATAATGTTCCTAAACTGGCTTTTATGTAGGATGACATGCCAGAAAACATCCACTACCCAAAGCAGTGACTGAAGTTAAATACTTAGGTTTTTTTACATAAACTGTCACAACAAGGCCTTTTGGTTCAATCAGAAGAATGAATGAATTAATTATAGTCTGACCATGTAAGTGTACATTTCTATTTCCTAAAATACACATTTCTAAAACAAATTTCTGTGGCAGAGTTAGATTTGATGGTAGACATTTTGGATACCTTTGCCTCCTTTACATTAAAGATTCTTACAAATGAATCACAAATTGGAAAAGACAATTTGGTGGGGGGCTTCCTTTCTCCCTTCCTTTTGTGTGGCAGTGTAATGACTAACCACAATTTACCTCTTTACTACTACAAATAGTTATCCTCCCTTTATATTTCCCCCTTTTTAAATACAGTCTGCTCATGCTTTAAACATAATGAGCCAAATTCATCCCTAGCATAACTACTGAGTTTGTGGAGTTACTCCAGGAATTAATTTGGTCCAATTTATTCAGGCTAAACAAACTATATTCCCTTAACTTGTCCCTGTAAGTGATGGTCTCATGTCTGTTTGAAGTGTGATATTTCTCCTGGACATTCACAGAAATAAATAATTCCTCCTGGAAAACAAATCTCTTAAATAAAATAAGCCTTTCTTTTGGAACTTCATAGACATTCTTCTTATGTTTGATCTGCCTATCTGGCGTAACTAAGCAATACTGTATTTTTCAGCTGCTCCGAGATGGATCAATACCACCAGTGGCTAAGTAGGTCCGTGGTGTTAAATATTCAAAACATCTCATGCATGCAGAACTCAATTTAATACCAAGGTCTGTGTAGGTTTGGAAAATATACCTTTTATATCACTGATATAATTGCATTCCTTTTAGACTTTAACTTTAGAATTGGTTTGTAAGGTTTTCACAAAATGGACTGTTTTCACTTTGAGTTATGAATTTGAGAGGTGGAAATGGCAGATAGGAAGATGAATAGCACAGTACTGTGGGCTTTTTAGAAACATACCAAGCTTTGTTTACAATGATTTATATACTGAATCTTAAACCAATTTCTGAGTACATATGTGCTAATAAATACATATTTTTATCTGTTCTTTTAGCAACGGTGTAATAAAAAAGTGTAAATTTAAATTAAAGTCAATGAATCATGATTGTTTTCCTGTATGTTAATCAACATGTCCTGCTGTATTTGAGTTTTTGACATTATCCTATGTTATCCTGGTCATACTAAATAATAATGATCAGTCATTAGAAGTGGCCAAACTATTCATTATAGTACTATTCTATATAAATGTAGGCCATTTTTATTTAGGAAATTGGTCACGAAAGAATCTTGATTTTCTTCTAGTGTATGCATTGATCTTAAGTATTTGCTGAATAATTTCAATGACTATTTTGCAGCCTATACAGTGTTTACAAGCTGCTCACTTTAACTATATGCTCTTTGTTGTTTGTATTTTGTGGTCAGTTGCTTAAGTCGTATGGTATTGTTTCCACTCTTTGATTGGATGGCTGATACATTTTAAATAGTAGAAAAGCAAATAATGAATATCAAACCTCTGGTATGAATTTTTGGATGAGTAAACACTTGTGCTAAAGCTTATGGAACTTTCAGGGTTTGGAAACATTTTAACTAATAACCAGCAGTTGGTCCAATATTTGCCCTTATTCAGCAACATTTTAAAATCTCATTGAAGTTAAGCATGCAATTAAGCTGAATTGGGGCCCTTATGAATAATATAACCTCATGAATCAGATCACTTTTTTAAAATACTATCCAACCAGCTCTTTCACTTTTGTACAGTGGTTTTCATCTTCAAAGCATTCTAAAAACAGCAATGAATCGTTAAAAAAACCCTACTAATTATTAACGAAGAAGAGGGCCACATATGTAAAGTCATATGGTTTGCTCCAGAACATGGTCTAGAGAGTTGGTGACTTGCCCAAGTGCACAGTCAGAGGCATGATTAGAATGCGGAAGCTCCTGATTCCCTGTTCTGTGGCCAGACTATGCATTTCTATCATGCATTTTTCCTATAGAATGTTGTTTTGGGGGCCTGATGCGGCTGTAAGAAGGGGGCTAAATGACGTACAGAGAGAACTCCAAATGGAGGATTATTTTGATTTGTCTTTTTGTTTCTTCTTTTTGGTTCCAGTGAAATGAAGCAGAAACTCGATGAAGAGGGTAACAAGTGCAGCATCCTTTCTAAGCAGCAGAAGTTTAATGAGCACTGTTGCATTCGCTGTTGCTCTCCTTTTACGTTTCTCATCAATAGCAAGCGGCAGTGCCAAGACTGCAAATACAACATCTGCAAGAACTGCAGCTCCTATCAGAAGAAGGACAAGGCATGGCTCTGCAATGTCTGCCAGCAAGCTAGGTAGGTGATTATTGTGCCACTGCCAGGTATAGAACAGCTGGACTGAAATCTTTACTTGACTTTTCCTCCTATTCCCTCTCTTTGTCAGCTGTTAACAGTGATGAGGTGAAAGACATAAGACACAGAATACTCTAGAGTGTCTAGAAGTTGTTATTAAGGATTGCTTTGGGCCAGGAATGTTTTATTCTAAATCTGCTTTGCTGGATTGATAAACCAACAAGTACTAATTGGATTTAGTCTGCATAAGGGGTGTGATCCTTAAGGTTACTAACATGTAAGCACAGATGGTTAAAAGGTGGCCAGCCATTTTGCAGCAATCACTTGAAAATAAGGCCGGGAGGGTGAAGAAGGGTCTCTCACAGTAGATTATCTTGCAGTGAATTTGTCTGGAATGCTTTTCTAAATGACAGACTTTCCACAGAACACTAAATGCTTCAAAAATACATTCCAAACAGTACCGGAATTTTCACAACTGGGACTAGTTCAAAAAATGCTGCCTAATGGAACCTTGGATAGAATTGCTTCCCCACCCCTTGGGCCTGAGATAACCAACGCTTTTAAGCCAGCATGAAAAAAAAACCCCAAACCAGTAAAAAGAGCCAGCCCACATAAAACAGCTCTTCGGGGCCAATCTTCCTGGGAGACATTTGGCCTTGCATGGCTCTGTTTCAATTATGGTAGCTTAACTAAAACAAACTTGGCCCAGGGTGGCCACGTAATCTCAGTCCTCCTCTCTCCTGGCGGGGAAATGGATAAAGGAGACCACCCTGATCCCTTTTCCAGGCTCCAATTCACTACTGTCTAAGAGGAAGTACTGCTGTTTCTTATCAGGAGCTCTCCTTTAGCCCACTTAGATATTAATGGCATCCCAGGAACCACGGCTGTCAGCTCCACCCTTTGCCTGGTTGCTAGGTTAGGCTCTGGTGCCCTGATGCAGCATGAAATACCTTTCCCTGCCTCCCTACAGCACAAAGAAGGGGAGCAGCAGGGGCATAAGGAGAAGAGGAAGCAGCAGCCCTCCCCCTCCCCCCCCACTGAAGTCCGTATTTATATCAAAGCAACCCCATTGGGCTTGATTCTGAACTTATTTACAACAGTGTAGATCAGGAGTAATTCCAGTGAGTTCAGTGGGGTTGCACTAGGGTAAGTGAGATCAAATCAGGCGCATTGTAGTCCACATAATATAAAATCTTATAATATTGCTTGGTGGCCGTGTCATCTCTTTAACAGCTAGCAAATGCAATTGCCTACCTTCCTCCCCCGCTCCACCCCCCATGTTGGTGATCAGTCCTGGAAGAAGGTATTTGTTTTTGTTTTGATCATCTACTGTGGTTTAAGACTATGTTCCTGCAGGTTAAAAATATACAGAGGAAACTAATAAAAGATCATCAGTGTGGCTAGTTGGACAGAATATTTGGTTATTATCTAATATAAAGCAAGAATATAGAATAGCTTTGACAATGGAAAACTCTTCTCTTCAGTCTGTCTACCTGTATTTTGTCCCTTTGTACTCAGACTATGTTAGGTAAAGAGGAGGATTTTGTGGTTAGTGTAGATAGTTATGGAGTAGATGCAATAAAACACTAGCAAATAGAAAAATAATTGCCTTTTGATAAGAGTTATTTCAGCTAGAGAGAATGGGAATGGAATGCTGCTGCTGTGTTTTAGTTTCAAAAGCTTAAATCTTATGAAATCTGTCTAATTTCGAACTTGAACTTAGGAATTAAATTATCCAGGTTTCATCAGAATCTGTTCTTTGCTCCCTTGACTTTTTGTTAAATGTTAAAACCAATTTTTTGACACTTTTGGATAGGAATGTGGGGGTTTGTGTTGATACTTCCATATCTATTGGTCATATCACTATTCCCAACTTTCAGTGTGGACAAAATCAAGTAATGTCATGAATCCACTTTGTGAAACTTCAGTGATGAAACATTCAAAATTCACAAAACGATGGGCAATATTTTATAGACCAGAACAAAGTTCTCATTTCTGCTGTCCAGATGGGTTCAGACAAATAGAAAACTCTAAACTCAATAGGTATAAAATTATATTAACTGAAACTGCTAAAAAGGTGTAACAAAAATCAAAGTGAAACTCAGCTTGACAGCCATATATAGCAAACAGCAATCAACTGAAAGGTTTTGACATAAATTGCATGAAGCATACAGCAAAGTGATGCAAAAGGCACCGAAAATACTGCTCTGTATTTCAAAGTATCCTGCAAAATTTTAAAAACTCTATGTATAAAAATATAGATCTATAGAGATGTGTTTTATATAGACATAGGTACAGATGTATTAAATGTTGCTGACCAGATACCTATAATACAGCATTTATTAGTAGCATTCTGTGAAGTGTTTTTGTTTGTTTTGTTTTTTTACTGAGAATTGATATTTTCATCTACTGCCTCAAGGGGACAGAAATCCCCAACATCAGCAGCCAGCTCATGGATCTCAATATCATCTGAGGTTGGTAGCACTGGTGTTGCAAGATCAATAAAATAGCCAGTAGACTCCTCCCCTTTTATGTACAGATCCAGTCATCATTGAAAAAGACTTTTTTGCACTTTCAGCCTCTTTTATACTTTTTACCTTTAAAGGTATTGGGGATGAAAGTCCTTGCTGATGCAAGATGCTTCAAAATTCTGGGATTGTGACTTCAGGCATAGCCCTCAGTTGGGGTGGTGCCTAAATGGCAATAAACCAGGAGGCACTATGAATCAGAGACGCAGCTCCGAGCCACAGTTCTTTCTCTACTCCCTCTTTGCTTCCTGGGACAGTAATTTCCTGCCAGCCTACAATAATAGATTACTGGCTCTCACTGGCTCAACTACTTTGGTCAAGGCTATGCTTGTTTTTCACCCCACCTTGCCAATCTGTTTTGAGGAGGGAGAAAATAGTCAAGTAACCATATGTTGTGAGATGCTACCGGTATGGTGCTCTGCTTTTTCCTGTGTTGATATCACTCGGCTGCGTGCGTGTGTTCCCTCTGTGTGCAGTCCCAGCTCTGCAGATAGCTGACACAGCAAACCCGACGAGAACCCCCAATAACCACAGAGTCTAGTAAGATGCAAAGTCACTTCGGACTAGGTTTATTGCGATCTCGGACACAATTGCAGTTCCCCGTAGATTACTTAGTCTACCGGGCATACTACTAATAGATGCCTCTTGGCAAGGACCCGGCTCAGTGGCGGGACTTTCCACTGCCCCCGTGGCCGGACAAAGACACCACCCCAGGGATACATTTTTATGCACAGGTACAAACAAGTTACACATCACTCCTGACGTATTGAGGTGCAACCCCTCTACGCAGCAAGGTACAACCCTTCTACGTAGTAAGGTGCCGCCTCTCACCTTGTACATGTTGGTTCGATCTATCCATCATTTTACCCTTTTGCCCCTGTCATTGGGATGGGTCGGCCTGTTCCATGTTATCTGTGGAATGTTCCAGGAGTGTTTTAATATCTAGTGTTCAGTACTTTTTAGGTATGTATCTTTTTGCAGCATCAGCCCTTTCCTTGCCAGCTTCTGTGAGCAGGGCCTGCCTCTGGCTCACAGCTTAACTTTGCTTTATGTTAGCAAAGTCTTGACCATTACTTTAGTTCAGGCCTTAGGCCTCATACCAGGCCTCTGATACCAAGGTTTATCTCTCAGGGCCTCCTCTTACTACACCATACTTGCTTCTATGCGTCTGCATTGTTGCGTAGGGATGTGAAAGGAGTTCTTACTCCCCCTTATTCCTGTGTGAGTGTTTTTAATCCAAGTCACAGCCTAGCTGTATAATGAAATATCTGTTAGTTCTTCTGAAGCTCTGCAATAATTTGAAGGAATTCATTACACACACCTGCTGATTATTTTATTGTATGGTTCATTTATTTGTTGTACCAGGAATAAAACGGAGGCCCAGCTTCCCTGAATCACAAGAGTAGTACCACTGAAGTTGACAGGGCTACTTGTGTGGATATGGGTGGCGGGGTTGGTCTCTGCTAAAATTAAGCCTTTAACGTATCATGGATTTTTGAGGGGGGGGGGTATTATTATTTCTAATGTTGTTGTTGTTGTTGTTGTTAACATGTTATGAAAACATATTTGAGACATATAAATTAATAGATTTATTGGGGCTCTGTTAAGGATAACAAATTGTTTTCTCCAAATTAGACAGGATCGTTTTAGGGTTTTTCCCCAGGTGTGTAGAAATCTCAACTGACACATTTTACATAAGCAGTGAGCATAGAAAACAGAATGAGCTACTTTCCCTTAAGATTTTTTTTATCATAAGAATACATTTTTTTCAGTTTTTGAAGGTCACTTCATTATTCAAGAAAGGTGCCAGTTTGACATTAGTGGAGATTGAAGTAATCTACCATGAGAACAGGCAATGATGCCCACTGGCCCTGCCATTGCACCTCTCTTCTGCCCTGTAACATCTCTAGAGATGAGAAGTTTCCATGCTCATTCAGCCCTTGGCTCCTCTCTTGAGGCTGCCAGTGGAGGTGCAGTTGGTGCCAGTTGTTTTTGTGAAGTGGACACCATTCTGCTAGGATCTAGTCCAGGGTGGGCAAACATTTTGGCCCGGGGGCCACATCTGGGTGAGGAAATTGCATTCAGGGCCATGAATGTAGGGATGGGGCAGGGGGTTGGGGTGTGGGAATGGCTGCGATATGCAGGAAGGGGCTCAGGCCAGTGGTTGGGGTGCAGGAGGTGTGCAGAGTGTGGCAGGGGGCTCAGGGCAGGGGGTTGTGGTGCGGGGTGCAGGAGGGGCTCAGGGTGTGGGCTCTGGCCCGGTGCTGCTTAACTGGAGCAGCTCTGTGGTGGCAGCGGCACGCACAGGGGCCAGGGCAGGCTCTCTGCCTGCCCTGGCCCCGCGCCGCTCCCGGAAGCGGCCGGCACCACGTCCCTGCGGCCCCTGAGGAAGGAGGAGGCAGAGGGCTCTGCACACTGCCCTCGCCTGCGGGTACCTCCTCCGAAGCTCCCCTTGGCCGTGGTTCCCCGTTCCCA